ACCGATGCTATTTGGGGGGTTAACTGGCATAATGCAGTTCGGGGGTTTGCATGGACCGTTGCTATTTGGGGGGTTACCTGGCATAATTTGTTTCGGGGGGTTTGCCTGGACCTATGCTAATTGGGGGGTGACCTGACATAATGTGGTTCGGTGGGTTTGCATGGAACGATGCGATTCGAGGGGTTACCCGGCGCAAAGTGGTTCGGGGGGTTTGCATGGACCGATCCTTTTTTGGGGGTTATCTGGCATAATTTGTTTCGGGGGATTTGCCTGGACCTATGCTAATTGGGGGGTTCCTATCATAATGCAGTTCGGGGGTTTGCATGGCGATTTTATTTTAGCGGTTGCCTGGCGCGGCTTTGCACGAGGCTGCGACGTACGTGAGGCGCCTTAGCACGGTATCCTGCACGGTAAGTCTGGGCCGCAAGCTTGGGGGGTAAATTGCCGTTCGCGCTCAAACGCAATCGTTAGTCGTTGGAATTGGCATATTTAACCGTTTCGTCTGTACTTATGCAGGGTCTCTACTTCCGCAGGCTTTCTGTTTGAACGTTGCTCGAGTGCGCGGCCTCAGGTCTAACGAGGCTGCGACGTACGTGAGGCGCCTTAGCACGGTATCGTGCACGGTAAGTCTGGGCCGCAAGCTTGGGGGGTAAATTGCCGTTCACGCTCAAACGCAACCGTTAGTCGTTGGAATTGGCATATTTAACCGTTTCGTCTGTACTTATGCAGGGTCTCTACTTCCGCAGGCTTTTTGTTTGAACGTTGCTCGAGTGCGCGGCCTCAGGTCTAACGAGGCTGCGACGTACGTGAGGCGCCTTAGCACGGTATCGTGCACGGTAAGTCTGGGCCGCAAGCTTGGGGGGTAAACTGCCGTTCGCGCTCAAATGCAACCGTTAGTCGTTGGAATTGTCATATTTAACCGTTTCGTTTGTTCTTATGCAGGGTCTCCACTTCCGCAGGCTTTCTGTTTGAATGTTGCTCGAGTGCGCGGCCTCAGGTCTAACGAGGCTGCGACGTACGTGAGGCGCCTTAGCACGGTATCGTGCACGGTAAGTCTGGGCCGCAAGCTTGGGGGTAAACTGCCGTTCGCGCTCAAATGCAACCGTTAGTCGTTGGAATTGTCATATTTAACCGTTTCGTTTGTTCTTATGCAGGGTCTCCACTTCCGCAGGCTTTCTGTTTGAAAGTTGCTCGAGTGCGCGGCCTCAGGTCTAACGAGGCTGCGACGTACGTGAGGCGCCTTAGCACGGTATCGTGCACGGTAAGTCTGGGCCGCAAGCTTGGGGGTAAACTGCCGTTCGCGCTCAAATGCAACCGTTAGTCGTTGGAATTGTCATATTTAACCGTTTCGTTTGTTCTTATGCAGGGTCTCCACTTCCGCAGGCTTTCTGTTTGAAAGTTGCTCGAGTGCGCGGCCTCAGGTCTAACGAGGCTGCGACGTACGTGAGGCGCCTTAGCACGGTATCGTGCACGGTAAGTCTGGGCCGCAAGCTTGGGGGGTAAACTGCCGTTCGCGCTCAAATGCAACCGTTAGTCGTTGGAATTGTCATATTTAACCGTTTCGTTTGTTCTTATGCAGGGTCTCCACTTCCGCAGGCTTTCTGTTTGAAAGTTGCTCGAGTGCGCGGCCTCAGGTCTAACGAGGCTGCGACGTACGTGAGGCGCCTTAGCACGGTATCGTGCACGGTAAGTCTGGGCCGCAAGCTTGGGGGGTAAACTGCCGTTCGCGCTCAAATGCCACCGTTAGACGTTGGAATTGTCATATTTAACCGTTTCGTTTGTTCTTATGCAGGGTCTCCACTTCCGCAGGCTTTCTGTTTGAACGTTGCTCGAGTGCGCGGCCTCAGGTCTAACGAGGCTGCGACGTACGTGAGGCGCCTTAGCACGGTATCGTGCACGGTAAGTCTGGGCCGCAAGCTTGGGGGGTAAACTGCCGTTCGCGCTCAAATGCCACCGTTAGACGTTGGAATTGTCATATTTAACCGTTTCGTTTGTTCTTATGCAGGGTCTCCACTTCCGCAGGCTTTCTGTTTGAACGTTGCTCGAGTGCGCGGCCTCAGGTCTAACGAGGCTGCGACGTACGTGAGGCGCCTTAGCACGGTATCGTGCACGGTAAGTCTGGGCCGCAAGCTTGGGGGGTAAACTGCCGTTCGCGCTCAAATGCAACCGTTAGTCGTTGGAATTGTCATATTTAACCGTTTCGTTTGTTCTTATGCAGGGTCTCCACTTCCGCAGGCTTTCTGTTTGAACGTTGCTCGAGTGCGCGGCCTCAGGTCTAACGAGGCTGCGACGTACGTGAGGCGCCTTAGCACGGTATCCTGCACGGTAAGTCTGGGCCGCAAGCTTGGGGGGTAAACTGCCGTTCGCGCTCAAATGCCACCGTTAGACGTTGGAATTGGCATATTTAACCGTTTCGTTTGTTCTTGTGCAGGGTCTCCACTTCCGCAGGCTTTCTGTTTGAACGTTGCTCGAGTGCGCGGCCTCAGGTCTAACGAGGCTGCGACGTACGTGAGGCGCCTTAGCACGGTATCGTGCACGGTAAGTCTGGGCCGCAAGCTTGGGGGGTAAACTGCCGTTCGTGCTCAAATGCCA